TTTAGATTTAATAATGATAACTAGAGGTTCTAGGTTCGATTAGTTGAACAGTCGAGTTGTGTCTGCATGTGTACGTTGTCAATATATTAGGAAAGTTATGTATAAATACTACAATATAACCTCTATAAATTAATGCTCAATAAATTAATAACTTCTCTAAAGTAATATTTTTTTCTTGATCTTACCTGCGTCCAAGGTCTAAATTAATAATTTTGATAAATTAATAAGATTAATAAATTTCCGAAAGACCCTTAACATAAATTTATGGCTCATTAATATTATAAATTAACAATTCTATAAAATTACAAATGTAACTAGGACAACTTAATAAAATATGATTATATCGTTGTTTGCTTCTTTTTAAAATTTAAATCTAATTGTATTTCATCTCTAACTTTTCTTAATGCATTTAAAAGTATACATATATTTAATAGCCTCTAACTTTCATCTCTAACTTCTTCGAAAAAGATATCTTTAAATGAATAAATTATTAATTTATTAATTAAATATTATCTCTTTAAATTAATAAAATTATGTTGTCCAACATTATTAATTTATAGAGGTTTTACTATACTTTTGAATCACCTCAAACTATTAAAAAGTTAAAAAAAAATCTAATTATGACTCTAATATACCTTGATTAACTTCTATCATTTTATTCATTTTTAACCTCAAAATTCATGCATAACATGTAACTTCTCATGATGATGCACAAATTATAAAAGAGAGAGGACTAGGCATGGGTCGGGTTGATTTGAGTTTTTCGTTAATTTCATCTGACCTAAAAAATATACATCTTCAACTCGAAACTCAATTCGATTCATATTTATACCCAACTTAAAATTTAACACGCCTTTTGAGATTGTGGATATTAATTTTCGCCCGATTTTATATTTCTCCAGATTTTTTATTTTATTTATATTTTTGTTATTTTATTTTTATAATAAGAATACATACATTCATGTTACATTTTTTTGTCTTCATTTTACAGGCCCAAGACTGCAACCCGTGGCCCAGCAGAACGCCCTAGACCAAACAGTGGTCCAACATGATGACAGCCTATGACCCAAACCGATTCTGGAGCCCGACTCGGTTTGAAACCCTAGAACAAATTAGGGTTTTTTTTTCAAAATGTTCAGTCGTCTCTCCTCTGCGCCGCATCTCCCTCACACACTTCGGTCGTTTCTCTCGGTTCAACAAACACAACAAACACAACAAACTTGTGTTAGAGGGGCACCCAAAGCAAGTCAAAACAACAACAAACCGAGTATTTTACTCGGAATCAAACTCCCTAAAATAGACATTTTTAGACTATAAATACGCATGTAATCAACCCGATTTTTACATTGGAAATACATACGAAAATACTAGCAAAATATTAGAATGGAAACAGTGAGATCGAAGGAATTTTTTTTTACGAATTCGAAGAGAAATTAAACGTAAAATTGCTACCTTTTTTGGGCCTTTTGCTTGCATGTTGTTTCCTATTTGAAAAAAATACCAAATCGCCGATGAACGAGGGGACGTTTTCGACATCTTCTCTCTTGGATCTAGCCCTCCCGAGGCATCTTTTTTAAAAATCAAAGTTTTTTTAAAGAAAGGGGTTGAAAAGTTTCGAAAAATCAAAAACAAAGAAAAAAACTTTGGCCGCAAGGTGGTGATCGGTCGGAGTCTGGCTTCCTATGAACCCAGGCGGCGACAGTTCATCCCTTAGATGAACATTTGAGAGAAAACGATGGGGGTTTGATTTGGTTTTGAAAATGAAAGAATGGGTTGGGGTGTTTTAATTTTGGCTTTTATACCCCAACCCGACCGACCCGTGACCCGACTCTACAGGCCATTAAGATCCGCGTGTTTTTGTTAAGGAGAAAATTGCAGTTTTGGTCCCTCCGTTTGTAAAGCCCTCATTTATCCCCTGAATTCCCATTTCTTCTTCAATTTGCTTTGAAATTAACCCTCAAATTTGGTTTTTATTTCAATTCAGTCCTTTTATTATTAATATATATATATATATATATATATTATTTTTATTATTTTTTACTATTTTTTCTTTCCTTTTTGGTTTATTATTATTATTATTATTATCATTACCATATTTTTTCTATTTTTTATTATTTTTTATTTTACTTATTTTCTCTTTCTTCCTATTTTTCTTTTTGGGTTTTTTATTATTTGTTTTCCTTACATTTTATTTACATGTATATATATATATATATATATATATATATATATATATATATATATATATATATATATATATATATTTATTTATGATTATTGTTTTATTTTTATTTTTATTTATTTAAAGACTACGTATTATTATATGTATATATATATTCCTTTATTTATTTAATTTATTTTAACATATATCTATATACACTTTATTTTTGTTTTTGTTTGATTCCTGTTTTTTTTCCTAACATCTTTATATATATATATATATTAATTTTAGTCTTATTTTTTTTTCCTTTTATCTTTTTTTTTCTATTTAATTCCATTACTTTTTTTCTTTGTTTTTTTTATTTTTATTTTTTGTTATTTTTTCTCATTTTGTTTGTTGTTTTTAATTTATTTTATCAAGTTATTTATTTTGTTTATTTTTATCATTTTTCCTTTGTTATTTTTTGTGTTGTTTATTATTTTCGTATTTATGCATTTTCTATCTTAATTCGATTTTGTACTTCATTACAAATCTAACATCGCTGTCTTTTTAAGGGTCTTCGTTCAAATCTATCAAGGTAAGTAATTTGGATCATATTGTACCTTTTAATTTAAACTTTCAATTTTCTTAATTAAAGACAATTGAAAATTAACTAGTACCGAAAGGGCAGTTCAATGGTGCTAACCCTTCCTTGACTGTAACCGACTCCTGAATCCGACATATCTTTGGTAAGATGCAGATCAGGTAAGAAATTAAGGTATCCGATCAACCTATTTGTTTCAAAATAAATGATCGGTGGCTACTCTAACCCATTATTTCAAGTCGAAGCTCAATTCCGAGCCCACCCGAAAGACGGTTCCAACAGAGATAAAATATGAATTTGACCCGACCAATACGAATATATTTATAAAAAAATTATTAATTTTATTCAATAAGATAGGGATCCAATTGAAAAAAATAATATAGATAGGAGTATTGTTGTAATTATCCCTAAACGTATAAGATATAATTATATTATTTTTCGCGTCTAATCTGGTCGGATCATATTTTTTTATCATAAACCCGAATCCGACATGACAGGAACTTGTTCTCTAAAATATTCGACCCAACTTAATCCAAACCTACTTTAAAAAAAAAAAAACTTATCTAATAAGGTCATATCAGAACCTGACTGGTTCAGGTCTTGTGTCCATTCTTAAAATAGATAAATTAACCTCATAAAACTCCCACTTTCTTGTGGCTCATTTTCTCTTCTCCTACATTTTCGACCACCGCAACGCCAGAACCAACAACTCTTGATCTAAGGGGTTGTTTGTTTAATTCACAATGATTAAGCGCTGAATGATTCAAATGTTGAATGATTCAAATGTTGAATGATTCAGAGGCTATGTATAAATTAACTCAGAATGTGACATGATGTTTGATAATGGCTCTGAATCATTCAAAATGTACTTCTGTGTTGAATCAATCAACATTGAATCATTTAGAGGTGCGAAACAAACACGCAACGCTGAATATTTTCATTAAGAGGCAAACAAACAACCTAAATATATTAAAATTAACTGTTGTGAACCATCAAGTCCTACACATGTACACTCAATATTGTTAAACCCTATTGCGTGCATAATAGTGAAAATGAGATAAATGTCTGATATGTATGGTGGGGGCTAACAATAATCCTATGAATATAAATGATGGATCCACCTTGACAAAGTCGCATCATTTTTCCCATTTCAAGAACGCACGTATTAAATGCATTTCAGTCTGGCTTAAATGATTTTGAGCAATTGACCTCTCCCTTGTGCATCGTTATTATCATTTGTATGTGTAGGTTGAAAAAAGTGGGTATGAATTAGGCTACACCAAATGCAACGTAAGATCATCCAAAATAGAAAGATAAGTACTAATTCGTAACATGTATTCCAAATTATTAACCACCCAGCCACCGTCCTAATGATCTGTCTTTCTCTTCCTCAGATAAAAACGCCTGGAAACATGGCCCCACGGCTTCATTTTTCTTGGCGTTATTCCGAACATGGATGGATTGAAGGGGCAGGATGAAAAAATCGGTTTTTATGAAAATTTCATATTCTTACATATATTGGATAAATTTTATAAGTTCCTCTCTTACCATGAATTTTTGTATTCGTCATGGATTTTGAACATAAAAGCAACAAAATAATTGTGTTACTAGAGAAACCACGCCATTTCTCTATGGGATAAACATTACAAGTCTATTCAGATTTGGTGTTGGAAATTTACATATGTAAGAAAAGGCATAGTTTGTCTGAATGGAATTTTGCCTACTGATCAGAGCTGTCGAAAGGGAAGAAAGGTTGAAACTTTAAAACGTGGAATAATAACCCTTTGTAGGGACATGAAAGCAAATAGCGTTTTCCATTTGAGAACAAAGACGAAAAAAAAGATGGTTCTAAAGCGGTCCATTTGTTGTTGGAATGTCACTCAAGAGCGATTTTTTTTCTTTTTCCTCGAGGTATCATTCTAAATCCAAAGGCAATCCAGGTCCACCGGCTCACATTTTACACCCTGTTTGATTATTCTTCCCGTAGGGTCAAAACCCAGATGCTGAAATTCCACAGTTTTTTTAATTTGGTTGAAATAATAATATCTACTGTAGATACCATGAAATTTGATAGCATTCAAGACAATGAAATGTTGCAGCCAAGCCGATGAGTAGTAGTTGAGTAGTTAGTAACTGAAACCTGCAGACATTGTGGGTGTTCTGCTGCAGAGTACTCAATGGAGACCAAAACAAAAGAAAATGGTATTCTTTGGATAAATGCATCAAAACCAAAGAAAATTCTTTGCCATAACAAGCTGAAAATGAACTGTCATTTATCATTCATTTCATTCCCAGGTATTGATGAGGATACCAGAGATTTACAGAGTCATCCAAAATAAGAAAACGAAATTCTTAAAGAAACATTGAAACCACTGCCCAAGAGGTGATATTTGGATCAACAGTCACCTTCTATTGTACTGTTAATCATCTCTCTCTCTCTCTCTCTCTACCCACCAAAGACAACTAAAACTTCACAATAAAAATGATGAACACCACTAACCAGTAACCGGCAAACTGGAAAACGCTTAACCAATATGGAAAAAAAAACATGAACACATTTTTCCTCGGAAATGGAGAATTCCGTTTTCACTTCAAACCTTTCCCTGGTGCAGAAATTGCATGTCCTGGCCAAGCAAAGCAATCCCCATCAACTAACGATCCGCCGCCTTCCACATTGCTTGTTGCTTGCCATGAATTACACCCAGTAGTTCCACCTACAGCATCACCAGGCTCGTCACCATCGCCGCCACTATAACCGCCGAGATAACCGTTTCCGGGATATCCCCAAACCCCATCAAATGCTGAGCTAGCCCCAAGCCCGTATCCACCGAGTGTTAGGTACTCTTCTCCCTGGGAGTTCAAAAACGAAGTGAAGCTCCCGTTGACAGTAAGATCCACAGTTTCATTCAAATTCACTTCGGCCAACTTCACTTCAGGTTTAGCTACGGTTCCGGGCATAGCCGCCGAAACAGGTTTATTATCAGTTATATGGACATACTCTGCTTCATGGCTCACGCTCGGGGAAGACGAAATCATGACAGAGGGAGATGGCCCGAAAGAGCTCCGGGAGCGCTTGGAAGCTTTGCGGGTCCCACCACCAATGGGGACGTTACGGAGGGTGCCACCCTGAGTCCAGTAACGGCGGCACGACTTGCAGAAGTAGCGAGGCTGGGAGAGGTTGTAGTTGTTGTAGTAGCAGAACTTGGTGCTTGTCGAATCACACCTGGGGCACGGCAGTGGGTCGGTGAGTTTGACCGGTGGGTGCGACCCCATCTTCCCGGGAACTCGAACAGGACGCCTGTCGCCGGAATCAGCAGGCATTTTCTGTCGGTTTAAGGACTTGGGAAGGGGAAAATGATGGTTAAAGGTGAATTTTTTACGGCAGGGAAAGTGACAAAAGAGATGAAGAGAAGATTTCGAGGAAAGGAGATGTTTTGGAAGTTGAAAAAGAGACAATATACGAGGATTTTTGTTAGTGTTGGAATGCTGAGAGAGACGATAAGCCAAGGCAGGGCAACCGAGGAGGCTCAATAAATAAATAAAGGATTATTATTTTATATATAGTTAATAAAATTTTTATTTTATGCTATATTTAATTATTAAATTTAAAAAAATTAATCTTATAAAATTTTCATAACTTTTTTATATTCCAAACAAATTATAAGGTGGAGTACGATGTTTATAACTTCTTCAAATAGGGGCTCCGCATTGGATTAGTGTTTAAAGTAGCTGATTAAAGGATCTTTGTAATAAAATTTTGTAGTTATTTGATTAGTTTATTTATTTAATAATTTAATTTAATTTAATTTAATTAATAAATTAAATCACAATGAAAATTATAAATTTACATTATACAAATTCTCATCATTTGATGCTCAAAATGAGCCAATAAAGCACGTAAAGATCATCTACAAGGTGATGACCGAAAACACAAGAAGAGGGATCATAATCATCTTAATCGAAGTAGTCCGTTCAAATTGATTACACATGTTGAGAAACTTTAGATTCGAATATCGTTGCTCTATCAAATATAAAAATATAGAATCACAGAACCAAACTCAATGGATCCCTTAATTACACATGCACCCTAAATCAAATCAAGGTTAGAGTTTCATCCACTCTTACTGCTTTTATAAAATTAACCACACCATTTAATAGAAAATTCTTCAATCTTTCAAATGGTGAATACATATTTGGGTTTTAAAATCTCGAACTACTTGAATTTCTAAATTTAAGTTTAAAATTTACAATTAATATATTTGAAATTTAAATTTAAAATTATCAATAAAAAGTTTATAACTCAAAGGGTTTCAAATATTTATCCAATTTCCAATTTAGGTAAGAAGAATGCTTTCAATTCCTATAGAACAAAAAATATAGGCTAATGGAGTTTTAGGGTTTCAAGCAATTTGGGAGGTCGAAAACGATGGGAAATTGATTCCCTAGCTTCCTTAATGCATAACATAATCGGTGGCGAAGACCCATGGCAAAGGGTTTGCTAATTTAGAGTGAAATTAAAGAAAAATCAAGTTTTAATCTAATTGAACCAAAATGAATGAAATAAAAAGCTATCATCTTATTCATAAACTTTAAACATGTAAAATTATCCTTTAGCCATGCACTTTATCATGGTTCAATTAATACTTAACCGTTTACCTTTTCTATTGTTTTTACTTTGGCACCTAACTTTCACCTTTTTACTAAAATTTCCAAATTATTAATTTATTCCATTTCAGTCACTAAATCTTTATGCAAAATCAGTTATTCTTTAATCCAATATTAAAATAAAATTTAATAAATTCTCAGGATGGGAGACAAGCGATAAAGAACTTGGTTCTCGGTCTCCTTATAATTTCAACATTAAATTCTCACAAAAGAAGAATCCATCTAACAAGTCGTGACTTTGCATCCTTCTTCGTAAGCAAATATTTAAGCACAAAGTGATCTGCGAAGGGAATTATCTTTGTGCCCATCATATAAGCTCTAAATTTTCCAAAAGGAAACATTATTGCAAGAAAATCTTTCTTGGTGGTTGTGTAATTAAAATGAGTTTTGTTAAGAGTCTTATTTGCTTAGTACATAACATGAGACGTCATTCTCCTTTGTTGCCCCAACACTATGTCGACAATGTAGTTACTAGCATCACGCATCAATTTAAAAGGTTGCGTCCAGTATGGTGCTATGAAAATAGGTACAGCAATCAGATGTTTCTTAATGTTTGAAAGAGGCGTGATAAGCACAAAGATTAATCAAAAGAAGAATGATGTTTCATGTTATGTGCAATATTAATAAAAAATTAAGTGATGCCCACATTCTGCTACCTAAGTGATGCGCCCGAAACATAATTCACGAGCAGTTATTCACAAGATTAGTAAAAAATCTCAAACTATTGTTGGTTAAATCTAAGTGATGCGCCCATTTCTGCTACCTATATTGTTGTCGTGGTACTGCATTTTCATCCATATTTCCTTGATAATTTCAAAAAATTTTAGGTTGTTATCCCCACCATGAGTTATAAGATTGTTGAAATTGATTTACACTATTCTGATTAATACTTCCCATCAAACAAGCTAATTTCATATTTGAAGGACAAGCTTCAAATATATGATTTCCTTCACAAAATACACATAAAATACCAAAAATATGTTATTGGATTAACTGAACTAGGTTTCTGCATCTCATTGATCATATTTGTCAATGTTGAAACTTGGGTTGATAATGAATCAATCGTGTCTGTTAAACTATCAAGAAGAAATAAGTTTAGCAGGAAACTTTCTCACCTTATTAACTTGAGCAAAGATACATTTATGGAAGTTTACAATAACAACAGCCTCTAACAAACTCTCAACAATACAACCACCTTTCCCGCCTTTATGAGCTGAACACCTCATGCACATCATGTGAACTAATAGAAGTAGAGTATCCTCAACATTCTCTCTACTTTCCTCCACCTTCAACGACCTGTATCTTATACGAAATTCATACAAGATGATTTTGAAGAGGCTTGGTTAAACCATAAGCAATTTGATAAGTACCCGAAACATAATTCATGAGCAGTTCCTTGTTGGCCACCTTCTCACGAACAAAACATATATCGAGCTCCACATGTTTCGGGATTAGCAGCGCTGGTATTATCACTCCATACAATCGGGGGTTCAATTTGTTCTTCACTCATATCACAAAGCAATGTACACAACCATATTACTTCAGACACCACATCTGCAACGCTTCGATACTCGTTTCAGTGGTTGACTGAGCAACAATCTTCTGCTTTCGAGAAAACCATGAAACCAAATTTCAACTAAGAAACACACAATTACCTAAGACAAAATGATGACTATCAAAATCACTGGCCCACTCAGCATCCACAAACGCTACCAGTTTTATAGCCGAGTTCTTTGCATGAAACACTAGCCCATATGCATCGTTCCACTCAAATAACATAGTATTCTCTTAACTGCTCCCCAATGTCCTTCACATGGATTGTGCATGAATTGTGATACTCGATGTACATTAAAAGTAATATCTGGTTGAGTATGGCAAAGGTACAATAAGGCTCCCACAGTACTCCTGAAAAGCTGCGCATTTTCAAGAGGCTTACCAACATCTCTCGTTAATTTAGGAGACATCACCATTGAAGTTGGTGTAGGTTTTTCTTCAAGGATATTTGTCTTCCTAAACATTTCTCGGATGAATTTACAATGTCTCAACGTCATCTTGTCTTTATCCCTTAGAACTTCTATGCCAAGAAAATAACTCAAATGACCAAGATCCTTGAAAGAAAACTAAGTACCCAGTTGGTGAAGCATAACTTTGACGACAACAATATATCACCAGTGATGACATTGTCATAACATATACGAGCATAAACACAAGCATCCCATCCTATCGTTGTATGAATAAAGAGACATCAACAACTGACTCCTCAAACCCAATGTAAAGTAAAAACTACTTCAGCCTTGCATACCACATCCTTGGAGCCTGCTTGAGCCCGTACAGAGCCTTTTGCAAACAACACACCAAAAGTTTTCCATTGACATCACACTGCTAAAAACCCGGGGGATGAACCGTGTAAACCTCTTCACCAAGATCTCTGTTTAAAAAAACATTATTTACATATATGATCTACTTGTCGAAGCGGCCACCCTTTTGATACAACCACTAAAAGTACAACATTTACAGTTGTTGAACAAACCACGGGGCTGAACGTATCTCCAAAATCATGACCTGAAGCTTGGGAAAAACATTTGGCAATGAGCCGTACCTTATACCTTGCAACTGAACCATCTGTATTAAGTTTGGTTTTAAACAGCCACTACAGCCCACTACAACTGACCAACAGGTAAAGATTCAAGCCGCCAAGTACCATTCTTCATTAGGGCATCATACTCTTCATGAACTGACTGTTTCCACCGAGGAACCTCTAAAGCTTCCTCAACAGTAGCTGGTTTAACATCATCACTAAAAGATCCATCATTAGCCACAAATTTTAGTTTAAAATCCCAACCTTACTCCTAGTCACCATAGAATGTTTATTCACAACTGAACTAGAATCACTCATAACCCCTGAAGGACCAACAGTAATCAACACACTTTTATGCACGTTAGAATTAGGTTGATCAAGGCTGTGAGCATCTGTACTTACACCAATAATTGACATCTCATATGCTTCACCAACTCTGGCAACAATAAACTAGGGTAAAAACTAGATCCATAGGGACTTAAATTACCCAAAGGTACAACCTCAAACCCCTGAGAATTTGGCTGATGAAAGGAGCATGCCCCAACATCATCAACAGTTTGCACACGCAAAGGTTGGCCCTTGCCAATCTTATCAGCACCAGGAACTGTCACAACGTGCTATACACCCGTTGTGCGCCCTTCTGATCATCACGAGAACCCTTACTTACACATGCATATGAGAAAACCCTCTTATCGTATATAACATGATGCGATATATATATCATTCCATCAACTTCCTGTTGAGTGATGAAGTTGTTGCTGACGTGTATTGGTAGTTATACAGTTAGGAAGTGTTAGTATAGCTTTTATGAGTAGTTGATATAAGCCTTAGGTTGCTGTATAGTTCTTGTATAAAAACAATGATATATATCAATAAAGAATACGCCTCTTGTTATACATTCTAGTAATGTGATTACTATTCTAACATGGTACCAATTGCCATAGATTCTGGAGCTTCTGTTTCTTTAGCTGCGTAACTCTAGGTTGTTGCCTTTGTTCATCACATTCTTACTGTGTAGAAGATGTTTTTCTGTGATTTGGGTAGTTCTAGTGATCTGGTATGATACTTCTGCTTGTGAAGTTTTCTTCTTACGATTTCTTGATCGTTGTATGTTGAGTGTTTTTACTTCAATGTTCACTAACAAAAAGATCAATGCAGCATTAGATGAAACAAATATCTTGTTGTGAAAACAAAAGTTTTACTTACTGTTCACAGCCATCGTCTTAAGCGTCTTCTTACCTGTGGTATGCAATCTCCACCTAAAATGGTTGTTG